TATGCCACTTGATGTTTTTTTAAATCACATATTTTAAACAATTCAACTACTCTTACCGTCCTACTGACTACTGTGTATCTATCTATATATAGATTAGGATAGGATCAAATGAAAATGAAAAATAGTGAAATAAATGAGAAAAAAAAAAAGGGCCATTCAATTTGACAAATGAACGGTTGTGATGTAGTCAACTTATCTTTCAAAAATAGTGAATAACACGGTGGCATAGTCACCCCATAAATAGTGGTATCTTTCACCACAAAAAAAAAAATAAAATAAAATAAAATTATTATATTCCAACAGAAAATTCTATACCAATATAGAACGAAAATTCCAACAGAAATATTTCATTGGAATCTGTTTTTCATTAGAATTTTAGATGAAATTTGATGATTGTAACGTCTATATTTTCAACGGCTTTTTACCGTAGGAATTTCCGTTGGAATATGCAATGTCTATTGAAATTTTATTTATATCCCGTTGGAAAATCTACCGTTAGAATCGTCAAAATTCATTCCAACGAAATATTTTTGTTGGAATTTTTGTTGGAATTCATTAAAAAATTTCAACAGAAATAATAGTATTGAATTATCCGTTGGAATTCATTCTATTAGAATAATTTCTGTTAGAATTTCATCATTTTTTTTTTTTGTAATGTTTGTGGTCACATGAGTAGTCAACTTATATATAATTGATAGTGAAACAACTAATAAAATCGTTTTAATTTTCCTCGAGAAAACGTTACAACTTTTATTATATTTATGATTTACTTATTAAGAGAGAGAGAGAGAGAGAGAGAGAGAGAGAGAGAGAGAGAGAGAGAGAGAGAGAGAGAGAGAGAGAGAGATCAATGGCATTTTTCCACTCTTTTTTCATTTAACTATGAAAGTTGACTATTCTTTTCGTACTAGTATTTGATCATGTGCACATGTATAGAAATTTAAACTATTTTAACTTACAAATTATGTGTACTGTATAATTGTAAAATTATAAGTTAGATAATAGTATCACATTTTAAAAATGTTGTCATTAGTAAAAATGAACATCATAAAAGTATTCAAATTCATCAGTATAGTTATCGTATAAAATAAAATGGATAATTATTTTTCATTAAATTCAATTAATATATTGTACAATCTTGCAAGGAAAATTTGATTTTGAATGATCTTATCTCTATACAAAAGATGACTTTTCTTATATATACTTTTGTGTCGTATCTATAGCATATCAAACACTTAATACTTCTTTTGCATGTGAATAATCAACATACAAATTAAAAAAATATTTTTAATCATTAAAATTTAAAGGTTTAAACATTATATTCTAATCATGCAACAGTTACATT